CAAGTGGGAGATGCACATTAGCTCTGCCTCCCATCTACCATCTTCCTCCCATCCAACAGAAGAATTTTTAGATAGGTAATGTCATGATTAGATATATATTCTACAATGTTTAGAGAAAGGATTGTAAAATAACAAAATTGAACTTGAAAGACTAGAGTCTGGAGAGGGATAATTGTGATAATGGGACTCAAGAAGTTTAGGAATCAAGATCAATAGGATTGATGGATGGCTGACAGGTGACAGTGATTACCCGGTTTTTTGTTGTTGTTTCTTGAGACAGCATCTTGCTCTGTCACCCAGGCTGGAGTATAGTGGCATAATCTCAGCTCACTGCAACCTCGACCTCCTGGGTTCAAGTGATTCTCCTGGCACAGTCTCTCAAGTAGCTGGGACTACAGGCGTGTGCAACCACGTCCATGAGCCACCATGTCTCGCTGACTACCCAGTTTCTACTGTGTAAAACTGGATATATGGTGATGCCATTTACTGGACAGGGAATAATAGAGATTTGTTTTTAGGCTGGGCATGGTGGCTCACGCCTGCAATCCCAGCACTGCTTGGGATTGCCCCAGATCACTTGAGCCCAGGAATTTGAGACCAGCCTGGGAAACACAGTGAGACCTCATCTGTACTAAAAATTAAAAAAAAAAAAAAATCAGCCAAGTTTAGAGGCACATGCGTGTAGTCCCAGCTACTCGGGAGGCTGAGGCAGAAAGATCCCTTGAGCCTAGGGGTCGAGGCTGCAAAGAGCCTGATCTTACCATTGCACTCCAGCCTAGGTCTCAAAAAAAAAAAAAAGATATGTGTTTTCATTGTTGTGGTTGTTGGTTTATAAAAGGGATGACGAGTGTGTCAGTTTTGTGGGTTTTTTCCCCCAACTGAATTAGTCTCTTTTTATTCTCTTAGTAATCTCTTCCAGCGTCAACTACTTCCACTGTAGGTGATAAAAGGTATAAGGCTCCACTTCAGATATTGGCACTGCCAAGAGCATGGTCTTTTCCCTTTACTGCAACTCAGAATTAAAACTTTTGTTTCTTATTTTTTATCTTCCAGTTCCAGCAGTAGTTTACACTGTAGATGTTATCTAATGATAGTCTTACTCTTTCTGGTAGTGGCTTACTACCAGGCTCTAACTTCTCCAGGAACATTACAGGATGGATTTAGTTTAAATATGGATTAAAATAAAGGGTATTCTCTCAAATGAGTTTAAATGCATTTTATTTTTAGAAAACCTACATGACACACTTTTCTTATAAACAATGAATCCACTCCATGCATCCATAGTCAAAATAAATGAAGAGCTCAAGATGACATCAGTCCTATTTGTCTGAAGTCCTGGTATTGTGTGGATGACAAGCAGCAGCTAGTTATGATGACAAGTGATAGATTCAAAGTAACTGCCAAATTTGTTAACATTTTTTCCATTTCTGAACCACCCTTAAAGAAAGTCATTTATGGGGTCACATTATCCCCATGGTAGTCCAATAGAGCAACCATGCCATCTGGATTCATGTTTTTACCAATAAAGAACTAGTAGTTTTTGCAATTAGCAAGGATGTGCTGGATTTGCTCTATAGCTTCTGTCACAAAAGGTTTTACTCTGTCTGGTCTCTGTTCTTCAAGTTTGCCTTTGATTGTTTTCAGGTAATCCTTGATATAGTTCTTGCAGGCATTTTTAGTGAAGCTGGTTTCTTGCAAGTGATGGTTCGTGACAATACCAACAACAGTGATTACTGTGCTTTTGGTACCTTTGCCCTCAGGACCTTCAGCAGAGGCATTTCCATCAATTAGCAAGTCATCAGTGTCACCCTCTGTCCTACTGACCATATTCCCCTTCACCGCCAGGCACAGCCCATCTGCAATCTCCCAAATCTTGTAAATGTAGAATAACATCTGTCTCATCACAGCTGATGAGATGCTTGTAAACAATCAAGATGGCAGCTGAAGGGAGACAGAGGACAGCGGTGCTACCTTAGCAGGAACTGGGAGCTCTGGGCAAGGGTGGTGGAGCCAGAGCACTCCAGGAAAGGCGAGCCATGGAAAAAACTGTCAGTTTTTTATGTATTAAGTTCAAGATGTCTTTAAGCACTTAAAATATTTAGGTACAGTGTCCAGTAAATTGTTAGATGCGCATATCAGGAGATCAAAGAAAAAGCAGAGCCTGCTGATAAACATTTATGAGTTATGAGTGTAACTAACACTGAACTAATGAGAACAGGGAGCTCTGCTTAGGAAGAAATAGAAAAGAAAGATAGACATTAAAATGGAACCAAGAGGAATACTTCCACATTTAAAGAATAAATAAAAATGGGCTGGCAAAAATTGCAAAATGGCCTTAGGCAGAAACCAGGAGACAGGTGGGTGTCATAGATTCAAAGAATGTTTCAAGGAGGACTTGGTCAGCACTGAAAGCTACTTTTCAAAGTAAAGTAAGATAAGGAAAAATGCCATTTGGAATTAGTGGCATGGTGGTGCTTAGTGAAGAGCTAATCCATTAGCATGATGGGGCAGAAGCCAGATTAGAATGAGCTGAATACTGAATGGGAAGTAAGGAAATAGAAATAAGGAGTCTGACTGTAAAGCGGAGACAAGTTAAATCTGCAGCTGGAAAGCAAAGCAGGTTAGAGGTGGGGTTTTCATGTTTTGTTTTTTAAAAACCTTTACAGTGATTTGAAGGTATTTAAAGCAAAAAAGATAAAAGCCAGTAAAGAGAGACAGAAGTTGAAGATATAAGAAAGATAAGAGAAAATCAATAGTATAAGGCTCTTGAAGAGGTAAGAAGGAATGTGATTCAGAGGGAGTACAGAGCAGCTGTCCTTAGGAGGACGGAAAATTCTTCAATGTGACAGGAAAGAATGAGAAAATAAAAGCAATTGCAGGTAACGTATGTGCATCTGTTAGCAGGAAATTAAGGGAAATCTTGTCTGATGGTTTTAATCTTTTCTAAAGTAGAAAGCAGTTACCCGCTAAGTCAGAAAAAAAGTGGGAGAGTGAAAGATCTGAGAACAGCAGAGGTTTAAATAGTTAACCAGTCAGATTTCCGTGGGATGTTTATTTCTTATTTGTTTTAGCTTTATTCCATTACCGTTTTTTCTTTTTCTATACACTCACATTTAATTAAAGCTTTCTAAAATGAAATAACTTCTTGAACAATTTCTCTGGTTTTATATAAAACCTAAATATCAAATTCAATTTTGCTATTACCATCACATTGACAATTTATCTATTATGCTTCCTATTAGCACTTCTGTTAAAACTCAAAAAGAAAGATCCATATATCATTTACAAGAATTTCATAACTACCAATTATGCTTACATATAGGTAAACAAGCATTTGGTATATCCACAAATTTTACCTTCATGCATCTAGAAGACACAGCATTTGTTTAGAGGACTTTACACCACATTACTTTTTTTTTTTGAGACAGAGTCTCATTCTTGTCACCCAGGCTGGAGTGCAATGGCATGATCTTGGCTCACTGCAACCTCTGCCTCCCCGGCTCAAGCGATTCTCAGCCTCCCAAGTAGCTGGGATTACAGGCCTGTACCACCAGGCCTGGCTAATTTTTGTATTTTTAATAGAGACAAGGTTTACCATGTTGGCCAGGCTGGTCTCAAACTCCTGACCTCAGGTGATCCGCCTGCCTCAGCCTCCCAAAGCACTGGGATTACAGGTATGAGCCACTCTACCTGGCCACCACATTACTTTTTGACTTGTTTTTTCAAAATGGCCTCAACAATTCTCCTCACCCTGTGCACACTGCTATTCATACTGTGACTTTGCTTTTCCTACCATCGGGAATAGAATCTGTTTCCTCACCCTATAAATCTGGGCTAGCCCTGTGCTAGATTTTGCCCAACAGAATTCCATAGAAGTGACAGCAAATAACTTCTTAACCTAGAATTTAAGACCCCTTATAGCTCCTACTCTCACCTTCTTGGAATGTGGTACTTCAAAATAAAAAAGCCCAAGCTAGCCTTCTGACAGATAAGACCACAAAGAAAAAGCTCCAGCCAACAGTACCAACTTCCTGACACAAGAACAATTTTTCTTTTTATATACGACCCAAAAAAATGAGGGTGAGTCATTTTAGACCATCAATACCAAGCTGAACCATCAGATGATTGCAGAAGGAACTCTAGGTGAGATCACCAAAAGAAGTGCACACTTCAGCCTAGCTCAAATTACAAATTCACAGAATTGGGAGAAAATAAAACAACTGCTTTAACCCAAAAAGTCTGAAACAATTACCTATTTTTGGGGGAGACGTGAGGCAGTTTGTTTTTCTGAGACAGGGTCTCACTTTGTCACCCAGGCTGGAGTGCAGTGGCATGATCACGGCTTACTTCAGTCTTGACCTCCTGAGCTCAAGTGATCCTCCAACCTCAGCCTCCTGAGTAGCTCAGACTACGGGCACATGCTACCATACCCAGCTAGTTTTGTATTTTTGTAGAGACGGGTTTTGCCATGTTGCCCAGCTGGTCTCAAACTCCTGGGCTCAAGCAGTCCACCCAACTTGGCCTCCCAAAGTGCTGAGATTATAGGCTTGAGCCACTGTGCCCAGCCACACAATTACCTAATTTTAAATTTCTTTTCTATTTTGAAAATGTAGAAAAATTACTGAATAAACTAAGCAGTTTTCTCATGGGAAAATCATAAACGATATCACATTTACTTTTAATATCTACTTTGCACCTAAACTTAAGGCTTCTTTAAAACAAAATTACCAGAATTATAGTCTTAAGATTCAGCCATCCATCCATTTATTTTTTAATTACCCACTATGTTCCAGAACCAGAGAAACTGACCATATATCAGTGAACAAATAAATATTTTAAAAATCCTTGCCCTCTCAGAGTGTACACATTGGGGAGTTACAGACAACTCAATTCTAAAATACATTATTTTCTGATATGTTAGTACTACAGTGACATCCATAATTTTAAAGAGAAGAACATGTATAGAAAAATGTGCATATTACACTAATAAGCACTCTTACCCTCATGCCAAGCACCAAGAACCCAATCTCTTCCATTAATGGGTACTTGCTGACCTGTTGCTGAATCTTCTCAGATGAAGCAAAAGGATCATAGCTTTTTTGCCCTATCTTTACATCCATTATACAGGGCTTATTAAATTTATGGGTCACATCTTCCAGTTTTAAGTATAAATCTGTTATTAAAGAAAAATACTAATTAGTAATGGGCAAACATATTACTACTCAAGTACATGTCAGGGAAAAAGAAAATAAGAAAATCAGAGAAAAAAGTTAAAATGAATCTAGAGTCAATAATTATTCTTACTCTACCTAAAAAAAAAACAACCAACAAATTTATATCAAGTATTAAACACCACAGAAATTCTTGCAGGAGGTGAATTACATAAATTCAACTATAAGCAAAAGATGGCAGATACAAGGCTTCCAACAATACATAAAAGGCAATGGGATCATTCCAAAGCTCTTCCAGAATGCATTCCCCTTGTAAATGCAATTTATGCCATATGTCTCAGCAGATCTTAGTATTTTAATAATTTTAAAACATCTATTCATTTAAACTTAGGAATAAATCTTTCCCACAGAGTAATACAACAGAAGTACAGATTAAGAAAGGGCAAACTAATCCAAATGATAATCATCATCAAACATACATTCTATTCTTACTAATTTCAAAAGAAAAATAAAAAAAATAAGTATCTTGCCTTTTTATTTTTTTTGTGACAGGGTCTTGCTGTGTTGCCTGGACTAGAGTGCAGTGGCCAATCTAAGCTCACTGCAACCTCCTCCTCCCAGGATCAAGCAATTCTTGTGCCTCAGGCTCCTGAGTAACTGGGATCACAGGCCATAGCCTGGCTGATTTTTATATTTTTAGTAGAGATGGTGTTTTACCATGTTGGCCAGCCTGATCTCAAACTCCTGGCCTCATGTGATCTGCCCACCTCAGCTTCCCAAAGGGCTGAGATTAGAGGTGTGAGTGACCATGCCCAGCCCATCTTGCTTCTTTTTAGAACACAGGCATTCCCCAAAAGTTGGTCTGTAAATCATGTTGACATCCTGCATACATCTTTCCACAGAAAAATTAAATAGAGATTCAAATATGGTATTATAAAAGCCCCAGTTATCATACATAGCTGACCTGTTTATAGTTTTAGCTTGAAAGCAAGCGTCCAGGTCCTTTGAGGGAAGCAGTAAGGAAAGAAATTCTTCCTCCTTTCCTAGGTTAAAGAATTGTCTCAAAGTTCTGAATGAGATCATGAATCATTTTTTAGTTAGGAATGTAATAAGAAGTATTTCTCCTCAGAGACAGAAAAGATTACTATCAACCAACATGACAAATAAAGTTAGAGAAGGTGTGTATTTTCTCTGAATTAAATAAATGGGTAGCAGGGGTAAGAGAAGCCTTACTCTCTGATGTTCTTTCATTATTCCTGTCCCACCAAGACTAGCATAGTTATTAAATTATAATAAAGAAATTTGTGCTCAAACAAAAGTGAGAACCCAGTTAGGGTTTGAAAAAGTTTTAAGCCCCTTAGATTTAAAAGGTATAAATCTTCTCCTTCAAGGATAAGAGTTACTTTTTACCCCTTAGTCAAAGATGATGAGAGCAAGGTTATAACTCTGTAGAACTAGGTGAAGTTAAGCCCAGATAGGACAAAAAAGTTACTGCAGTCCAAGGGAGCAGCACTGACACACCCCAGGAACCCTCCACACCTAAAAGGAAGGTTCTCCCAGACAGACACCTTCAGGATAAGAGAAAACAAAAGATCTTGACACAGACATGAAACTGTTGTCTGTGAAAGCTAATGAGACAAGTGGAAAAATATCTTGATGAAGGAGCTGGAACACACCCAAGCTTCTGCGTCTAAAAGATAACCACGAATGGTATGAAAGAAGAAAGCAGCACAGGATAGTTACCTTCAGATTTTCTCCTCCCATCTCCAACCATCTTAAGTAAAAAAGAAGAAAACAGATCCAGCCCCTCTCTAGGGCTACATAATAATTTCAGTAAAAAGACTTGAATTTCAAATATCAGAAAAAAACTAATTAGATTGTAATATATAGTACAGTAGATTCTTGGCATTCATAAATTTATTATCATTAATTTAGACTCAACATATTCCACAAATCTTACTGAAGTAAAGTTGTATACGGGAGTATAAAGATAGTGAGAGAACCTAGCTAACTGTCACAGCATTTATACCTCAGTGTAGGGTTAGTATCTTCTACCTGTCAATTTGGTACTGATTAAAAACAAACAACAAACTGTTTCTTTATGATACGACAAAGATGACAGAAGCTAGGGTAGCAAATCTGAAATAAAATCACCTATCTCTGCCTTTTGCAATCTGAAATAAAATCACCTATCTCTGCCTTTTGCAATCTGAAATAAAATCACCTATCTCTGCCTTTTTCTCTTTGAAAGGAGAAAAATACAAATGCAAACTCTATATATAGTGGAAATACAATATGTCTTTGCTGAATAAATGAGTATTTGCCCTTCCAATTCCTACAGTCCAATGGAACTTCAGACTTGGCCTTTCCTCACCCTATAACAAATTGAGGCATCCCTTCAGTAAATAGGGACAAGTATAATGAGTTTTATTTGATGTTTAGTTAGACTAGCCAAATGTGTTTTTCTTTACTTTACTTTCAGGTTCTTGTTATGTTTCATATGTTTGGAATTACCAAATAGCTGCTAAATTATTTCTTATTAGCCTTCAGAAATAAAACCATAAGTTAAGCCTACTGAAGACTGGCTTGGTGTTTTCTTTCCATTCTCTAATCTCAAATTTTTTTAAGTGAAAATAAGAATTTGAGATTCTCATTTATATCTTTCCCTCTGAGTCAAAAAGTAAACATCAAAACCTGCTTAGAGATGCAGAATTCTTAAGAAAGAATGTGATACCATGTATCTCACAACTTAACTGCACGTGCTTTTGAAAAAGGTAAATAGAGAAATAGGACATAAAGTCTTATTTTAAAAGTCTTACTTTACTTACTTATTTAGTCTTACTTTACTAAGCATTGTTGTCTGGGTTGGTCTCTGTCTTACAAACGCTGAGTTGCAATGTAATGTATTTATTATGTATCATAGACAAAGAAGATTATTCCCCTCATGGCCTAAAGACCCAGTGTTTTCTTGTTTTTTTATCCTTTTAGACAAAGAAGTTTTAAAAACACTTGACTAGAACAGATGGGATGTCACTGTGTCATCAGTGTGTCTGCCCAGCTCAAGAACTATCCTCAGACCTACAGAAGTGGTCCCTTTGCCAGCACCATCATACTTTGGGAATCCAGCCCATGGGCCACAGTCACTAGGGCAGGAGCAAATACCTGATACAAGCTTGGCCAGTCTTGCCAATTTGGAACTGGAACACAGAGAAAACCTGTTGCTGACCTCTGTGGGTGACTGGTACTATATAACATGCAAGTCCCTTGGTAGGGAAGGGAGAGACATTGATAGCAAGAAAGGTAAAGCAGAGAAGAGGAAGGGTTAAGAAAATATGCGGAGAGAGATCTCCCTGGGCTAGGGTTCAGATTCTGATTCCAGTCCCATCTTAGGTTCAAATGCATGACCCCTGGTTTTCATAAGACACCCTCATATCTTTATAAGAACTTATCCTTTTTGTTTAATCAAGTTCAAGTTTATTTCTGTAACTTGTGCCCAAAGAATCTTAACTGAGATGATACAGTTTAAAGCAATTGCTTTGGAAGAAGGAAAGGTATGCTCAAATCTCAACTCTATCATTTGCTAGTCTGTGACCTCAGGATCAGTTTTCAAAACCTCAATTGTATGTAAAATGGAGATAATTATAGACTCTACCAGCAGGGATATTAAGAAGACTAAATGACATGATGTACAGTAAAGCACTCAGCATAGTGTCAGTCCTGTCCTATAAATGAAGGTTACATATTCCCACATCCTCTCCAAAATAAATTCCATAGATTCCATATGTAATTACTGTCAAGGCACATAAGTGAAGAAAACAGATAAAAATTCTGCCTTCATAGAGGTGCTTTTGAAGAGTTGAAATAGCATTACATTTAGCATAATGGCTGCTACATATTTAGAACTCACTGAATATTTATTAATTTTACCTGTAAGTGTATATAAATATTAAACAAGCAAGTCACTGATAAATATTAAAACCTCCTAACTATGTTAGGTCACCAATGAGTCCAGGTCTAACTTCAATATTCAGTATAAGTAAAAATATAAGATGATTCCCAGGAGTCTGTTCTCTCCCTTCCAGACGAGACAGGCATAATAAACACAAAATAAAAAGATGCAGTCATAACTCAATTATGCACTTGATAATGGATATTCTCCAACCCTCAGGCTAGTATCAAGCCTTAGTCTTTAGTTCAATATTAAAAAGAATACCTGTATATAATAAACCTACTTATTACATATTGATTTCATCTCAAGTTAAAGTAACTCTCTTTTGCATGTGTCATGACTGCAAAACACACTCAAATCTGACCACTAACCTCCAAGTAGGCCCTTAAAGTTGCTCAACTATCTTTCTCTATTTCCCAAATCTCCTCATTTTTCCATCCTCTGAGACTACTATTTCATCATTCCTTCCCCCTCTCATCCATAAGCTCAGCTTGCCTATTTTTTTTAATTCTCAAGAAACGTCACAAATTAGTCAAGGTTACAGATGGTAAAGGTTACTGCAGTAAATATGAGAGCTGGGTTTTCTCCGATTCAATATTAACATTAAAAAGATGATGGCAAATAGAAAATTTGTTCTAAGACTCATCCAAAATAATCTAATAAACTAAAAATAAGATAGATTTTTGTTGTTGTTATTGTTGTTTTTGTTTGAGACAGGTCTCAATCTGTCACCCAGGCTGGAGGATAGTGGTACAATCATAGCTCACTGCAGCCTCAAACTCCTGCTAAAGTGATCCTCCCACTGCAGCCTCCTGAGTAGCTGGTACTACAGGTGCATGCCACCACACCCAGCTAATTTTTCTTTCCTTTTTTCTTTTTTTTTTTTTTTGAGAGGGTCTCACTCTGTCACTCAGGCTGGAGTGCAGTGGCGCAATCTCAGCTCACTGCAACTTCCACATCCTGGGTTCCAGCGATTCTCCTGCCTCAGCCTCCTGAGTAACTGGAACTACAGGAGCCCGCTAACATGACTGGCTAATTTTTATATTTTAGTAG